ATTTATTTTTATAAATAATAAATATTATTATTAATTCAAACTTTCTTTTTTTTTTCAAATCGCACACTGTTACAAATTTACTTAGACTTAATTATCTAATTACCTAAGTTTGGTTGACATAGAGTTTTTAAACGAGATTTTTATAAATGAGTGATTAGGTAGGTACCTACTACTTAAGTTTGCCTAGCTACCAAACCAATCTACAAAAAAAAAAATAACAAACCTACCAAAAAAAACTGTAAAACTCCCCGCATTTTCTTTTTATTACTAAGGGACGTAATTCCTAAGTTGTGAAAAAATTTTATACCTACCTACCTTAGGAATACCCAAAACTTTGACTTTACCTATCTAAAAAAAATAACTAGATAACTGCAAAAAGATGATACCTGTTAAATTACGGCCACACCTTCAGTTTAAATGAGGTTAGGAGGACGTGTAATCTTAGAAGTTTATTTCAAAAATTAGTTGTTATGGGGTTCTTAACCATGCTATCATTCAAGTGGATTGATAAGATTAAGTAGCAAAATACCTAAGTACTTAAAATACCTGGATTGATATCTTAACAGAAGCCAGTACATTTGCAATGAAGCCACACCTCTTGAGAAAGTGTAAGTCATGCTTCGCCACGAATGGGTCGGCTCGACAGGGATGATACTCAGGCCCGTTCCAACGACAAACGGAGCAGTCGTTTGGGTATGTGGATGGCGAGCAACGTTACCAGAATCTGACCCCAGCGTACGGTGCGTCGCGTGGCTTGCACGCCCAAGAGCCAATGGACCATCACAGACGGGTCCTTACTGGGCCGATGTTGAGCGGGGTTACTGGTCAAGCACAATAAGGTACTGCGGCCCTGGTCTGGGGCATGAGAAGGAACGGGGTGGTTTTTAGTCAGTAAGAGTCTGCCACTCCCTTTCGTCTCGCCCTGGGCGAGAGAAGTCATTTGATGATTTTTTCATTCAAAAAATAAGGGCCGACCTGTACTCATACGTCGAAGGAACCAGTCACTCCAGGCGCCAAATAGTAAAGAGCGCCTAATTTATCGATCTTCTTCTAGAAACCTAGTCGACCGTAAACGGTAATGTGTGTGTGTGTGTGTGTGTGCTTAGGTAGGTACTTTACACTTCACACAACAGGTATTTCTTTAATAGGAAGGTATTAGGAGCAAACAGGTGACGCGCCTTTATTGGATCTTGCTCTATTCAAAAATAATATTTGGGCTAGCTCCGGTGATCCTACTTCGTCTTGTTTCATCACGTCATTCCACACAGAAAGAAGTGTATAACCTCCGAAATAGTAGACAGATAAAGCTGCACATTTCCAGTGAAACTCTCATTTGTACAACTTTTTTTAATACTACCGTTTTTTGACCTCACGGAAGATTTGTGTAACAGCAAGTGTGGGAGAGCCATGCTTCGGCACGAGTGGGTCGACCCTGCCGCATTGTTACCACGGCTTTACAAAAAACACGCTTTAAATAAAAAGTGTTATGTTTTGTCGTGTGACTCCAATTCCAAAATCTTCAAAAGGTCGGCAACGCACTCGGCAAATCATCCGTAGTTGCGGGTGTCCAAGGGCGGCGCTGATTACTTACCATCAGGTAATCTGTTTGCACCTTTGCCGAACAATCACATAAAAAAACAGCAAGTCATGTCATGGAAATATCAGTAGCTACCTACCCACTGAGGGCGTGGACAGATTACAATCTTAATTCAATTAACTATATTATTATTTATCAAACAGTAAGTAGAACACCATGAAGATAAAATAATTGATATGAAGCTATGGATTTAAAGATAAATATCTATTTTATTACTATTATTCTCATTTTATGGGATAGGTCGGATGGCAAGCGAACGGATCACCTGATGATAAACAATTAGCGCCGCTCCCGGACACTTTTGGGGTTAGGTAGGGGGTTGGGGTTAGGTTTATCTAAAGATGGGGGAAGGGGACGACTGGGCTTATTGAAATATGTTCTATGATAAGATCATAAGGCGGTGAAGATAGAATATTCTAGACGACTCATTAATAGCTGCTTTGTTTGTTGTTCGCGTTGACTGCCCGCAGAGTGTCAGGTTCTGAAGTTGTGCTTTTATTACGATCTCGTAAATACTCGTAAGTATGGGAGAGCCAAGCTTCGGCACAAAATTGTAGGCTTGACCAGAGTTATACCACTGACTTACAGAAAGCCGGCGCGAAACAACCAGAGCGTTGTATTACGCCGTGTCAGTAAGGCTACCGGTAGCCCTATCTTTCCTCTTCACCCATGTTTCCCTAATCCCAAAATGCTGGCAACGTACTCGTAACTCCTCTGCTGCTACGGGTGTCTATGGGCGACACCGAAAACTTACCACCAGGGAATCCGTCAGCTCTTTTGCTGATCTATCCCATAAAAAAATGTCATTACTGATGAAGTGAGTATTGCATTACCAGGTGCTTCAATACTTTCAAGGTATTGAAGGGAGTAACCCTTTGAAGGAATAAAGAATGCTTAAAAAATAATACAAAATAACAGAGATTTCCTTCAGAACATTCTTTTAATCTGGTTTAACCAAATACAAATCACAGAAGATGCATAACGGATCAGCGATTCCTAAATCAGCCCTAGAAGTAGAATTACAACACCGACACAATAAATAATCATCTGTAGTTATCGGAGTAAATGTTGCCATACAAAACATATTTAAATGACCACTCTTACATGAAAACCCTTTGATTGGTTCATCACAGCACTGACACACATATTCACATGAATCTTCTAACGCATTCAGTATGTTTTGATCTAACTGAATGTCCGTTTTATATTTCTTTGCATAATATTCCAAATAGGTTTTGCTTCCATAAAGAGATTCCATGTCTAGATCACTTAATTGTCCTTCATTTTGACATTTTGTGCATAAATTTTCTAGTAATTGTTTTGCATGTAAATATAATATTTTTTCTTTGACTTTGTCTGTGGATGTCTCTGGTAACGTCACACCAGATAAGCGTAATACTTTTTTTAATCCTAAAATGTAGGTAAGGAGTATTAAATATATTTTCAACTTGTAAATATCATGTGCACCTGATGCATAAAGTTCATTATAGTCCAGATTAGGAATCCATTTCAACTTAGTAATTTGAAATCTTAATAATTCTACACAATCCCAATAGTGCGTCAATTTTTTGGTTGGATTTGACAAGAGTGAATCAAGCATACATTCTGGTTTAATTTCTTTACCAATAAATATTATTTCTAACTTGAGTGCTTCTTTTCTTGCTAGCACTTTTCGTTCAACCACAGATAAAGCACACATCACATTGTTCGGAGAAAAATGTAGACTGTACAGTTCATACAAAGGATATGAGTCCTTAATGGGCAACGGGACAAGGGACACATTTAAATTGTCACCTGACAAAATAATGTTTACTTTAAAAATTTTGAAATTTATTATTCCTACATAAATACCATCACTAGTATAGACAATGTCTGATATTCTGTGGTCATTAATATTATTTAAATATTGGCTGACAATGTTGCCATCATTATCAATGGCTTGTACCAACAAATGTCTATGTTTGCTAGTGATGAAAATGGTTTTGTCATTTATTTTTAAATATTTCAGGGCTACAGCTGCCATTCTGTCTTTATGTGACCAAAGGCGGCAGGTTTTTATAAGCTTAATAGCACTATTTTCCAATTTCAAATCGTAAGCAAATATTTGTCCTAAAAGATTAGTACCAATGATGAAAAATGTATCACTTGATTTTGGTATCCATCTAATGACACTCATGTCTTCCATATTTGTTGCTACATATCCAATAAGTTGAGGCTCATCCATAGTACTAAATAATTGCCAAAATAACAATGTGCCATTTTTCTGTGCAGTCATGAAGCAGCATGACCCATCAGAATTTAACTCCGGTGCCCAACATATTGCCGATGTTTCCAGAATATAAACTGATTCTTTAAGTTCTTCAAAGCATTCCGGCTTTTTATTGTGCTCCAGAACCTTTATTATATACGGCGACAAGTTTAGAATGCTTTTCCACACTATTTTGTCTTTAATGAAGAATTCTACTCCTCCAATATTATTTAAGACAGCAACAATGGAACTACTCCTCAGGAATTCTTGTGGAGACCACTTACACATAGTTATACCCGTCATTTCCTGGGTTAGAGCTTCATTGTGTGGCCAAAATGCTGAATCTAGCAACATATCCGTAAAATCGGCATTCCTCATTTCTGACTTTAAAAAGTCCGCTTTACATACTTCTGTGGCGGGGCTTGTCGTAGGACAAACTAAAGAACTTTCAAGAAAGTCTAGATTTCTATCTAAACACTCCAAATTGTATGAATATTCGAGGAAATTCAATCGTTTATTTTTACGTACAGTCAGCATAGGGTTATGCCATGATAAATGCGCGATTTCGTTCTTCGTCACGGTCGTAAATCGTTTTGTTAGTTCGAAATAAGTTTCTTCTGCCATACTTTATTTTCTGTAATTCATGCCAACACCATGTGTCTAATAAAAACTCAAATATTACCAAAATAAATCAGCCAGTACGGAAAGAAATAATGCACGTGAATCTGACATTTATTTAACACAATAGACACTGACTTTTGATAAATTGACGTTTGACAGCATTTGCGTATAGTGACAGCGTCAATAAGTATGTTAATAATCATTTTGGCCTTAGTCGATTAATCTATTAAAAAAGATTTATATTAATAACTTATATTGTAATGTGTACACCTAATGGTATGTAAAACAGTCTCAACTCTCAAATTACATTTAAAGTTTTGTTAGGGATTTATAAATAAGTTGCCTTCTCACATTTTATTTTAATATCTTACATAGCTTGATCTCTATAATAAATAAGTTAATATTTACAAAATTATTCAGATATTCTAGAAATCTGGAGTCAATTTATTGATCCCCAAAATTAATGAAATACTTACTAAAATAGTAAGTGTCGCCGAAAATAGTAAGTTACTATACAGCACTATCTGTCAAAATAAAAAAAAAATAAAGTCATAACAAAAACACGTTGTTTTGATGATGTTCGTGTGAGATTTTATTACGGATATTTTCGTGAATTTACATCGTTTTAAATTGTTAAAGAATAATTTAAGATGGGGAAAGGACGCTACAATGCTAAAGCTCGCCAAGTCGTTAAGACTGATATAGATAATTCAAAAACTAGCGAGGTAACCAATTTTACTTATACTTTACTGATTGACGAACTAAACATGTGCTAATTATTGTTCAAAATCGTATTAATTGATATTATAATCCTAATTTATGTTTGTTGAGGATGTAACAGATTATAACTTTATGCGTAAAATTACCATGAAGTACGAATTACCTGTTAATACAAATGTTGTTTGGTTCTCAACCATCAGTCTCTGACAACTGGCCTGGCTACTGGTAGGAAGACTAGGAAGAATTAAGAAGACAAAAAAAATATATTTAAAGAATAGGTTATACAATTTTTTTGTCTTAATTATCTTAATTCTTCCTTCCCAGTGAAAGACCACAAGGCTAATGAATATAGTTCCTAAAGAAAATCAGTAGCCGAAATTAAAGATAGCTAGTTAACCAAAACTTGCTAGTTTCACTTCATTTCAAATTCTTGTGACAGTGGAGTTCACATATTATCTAGCAGGGTAGCACATGTTTCAAAGTTGTTTGACATATACCTATGCTTACTACTTCACTGTAAAGAAAGAAACTCATTATGCTTATGTTTTTATTTAATTTTTAAATTATATCTTTTATATTACTTGTCACTGCAACACACTTCATACTCCAATTCTCCAAATTCAACTTCACACTTCAGTGTCACAGTTTTATCTACAGTATACTTTGGCTTAAATAGTTTTCGGTGATTGTAGTGGCTTTTCTGTCTCTCATATATTATACTTTTCTTTTCAGATTCAACTAGAATTTGCTACAAATGAATATGGAGCCACCGACTCAACCAATCTACTGGCCTTACCATCAAAGAAACGTGAAACGAAAATTGTCCGCGAAAAGAAAGAAAAAACAAGATTTCTTTCAAAAGCACAGAGGAAAAGATTAGAAAAGATTGTTGAGAAGAAGAAGAAAAAGGAAAATGTAAGTACATGATATTATGTATCTTTACATGTTTCAACCCTCAAAGACTACATAGTGCACATTACTATACATTTCCATTCAAAGCTTTTTACAGCTTTATTCTAAGGTCTTGTTAACGGATGCAGTGGTTTGTAATGCATCATGCATCATACAAATTGTTATGTAATATGAGAAATCTATCATATAAAATCACCCCAGCATTTAATCACACACCATCAGCCAGTAAGTATTCACTGTTCAGTAACAGCCTCATCTCACAAGGACATGCACATTATAACCATATTTTCATTTAAATTCTATTTTCTACTGAGCATGTACGGATTAATGTTTGTTATTCTTTTACACAAAAACAGTTGAACCGATTTACACCATACCTAGAGAGGTAATTAATACCTTGGATTAACATACAGGCTTTTTTTTTATCAAAATACGCGAGAAAAGCCGCGAGCGTAAGATAGTTTCAAATATTTCATAAAAAGATTGTTGACAAACAATTTATTTTCATTTCAGAGAGCATCTCTTTTAGAATCTCTGTCACAAGTGCAAGCGTCTGCAGCGGAAGTGCAGCAGTTGACGGGTATATCAGCTGTCCAGACTATTGGGTTGAGGAAACTTAATGAGCTGAACTCTGAGCTGACCACTCAAGCAGTCACTGAGGAAACGGAAAATAAGAAGTTTAGTAGTATTGCCGGTAAGTACTTATATGTATAAAAGTACCAGTGTAAAACAACACTTACGTTGTGTGAGTCAGGTTACCAGTAATTGGTCCATCCATGGACACCCAAACACAAGAAGAGTTTGTAACTATGTGCTGGGCCTCTATTGGGTTTGATAAGAATTGGGAATTGAGGTGAGAAAACTGGAAATCCGGTAACCTCACTCACATGGCATAGAACGCAAGCGTTGATTCAATGTAATGTCAACTACAAGGCTGAGGTATAATTCCGGGCGATTCGACCAATTCTTGCCAACGCATCGGTCTCTTAAAATGATCATAAAATTACCCCTTTTTTATTCTTGAAGAAGTTGGCAGAGGTTTGTCTTATGACACTCGTTTTTCACTATATTGCCGTATACAAATCAAAAGCCAGAAATCAAATAATAATCTATATATATAAAAGGAAGTCGTGTTAGTTACACCACATATAACTCAAGAACGGCTGGACCAATTTTGACAATTCTTTTTTGTTGTAATTTTGTCAGGAGAAGGTTTTTGTCAAAGAAAATATCAGAAAAGTGTTGGTAAACACATTTTGCGATCCATTTTTTTATGTAAATATAAGTAACAATATAAGAAATTGTTTTCAGGTGCCAAGAAACGTCTTCGATTACTAAAAATGGATAATGCAGAAAAAATAAAGAAGAAGAAATATGATCCTAATGTAGTTGGACTTGAAGAATCTTCAGAAGACAGCAGTTCAGAATCTGAAGAAGAAAGTGATGATGATGAACCTGAAATTGTGAATGGACATGATACCAATGAAAAAGAAACTCCTAATCCAACCGATAAGGTTGATATTACTGTGACGGATAAAAATGATTCTGAAGAACAAAATACAGTTAAAATTGTAGAAAAGAAAGTTGAAAATGTTAAGAAAAACAGTGAAAAAGATATTAAAGTTGAAAAGAAACCATTGCTTGAGCATCCTACAGTTCATGTAGAAGTGAAAAGGGATCCTAAGATTCAGGTAGCAAGGTTGAAATTGCCTATACTGGGCGAAGAACAGAGGATTATGGAATTGATAAATGAAAACGAATTCCTTATTGTTGCTGGAGAAACAGGTTTGTGATTATTTTTTTATGTAGTAGGTCGGCAAACGAGCACACGGATTACCTGATGGTAAGCAATCAGCGCCGCCCATGGACACTCGCAACGGAGGAGTTACGAGTGCGTTGCCGACCTTTTAGGGATTAGGGATTTGGAGATTTAGGGATTGAGGAGGGATTGGGGAAGGGAAAAGATTGGGCCTCCGGTAACCTTACTCACACGGCGAAACACAACGCAGTGGTTATTTCACGCCAGTTTTCTGTGAGGCCGTGGTATGACTCCGGTCGAGCCGACCCATTTGTGCCGAAGCATGGCTCTCCCACACTTAAATTATTTGATTTGTTCTAACATAATGGGGTAAAGTGTTTAAATTAAGGTTACTTCGTCATCAGTTGTTTTATGAGTTCCATATATATATATTTGCCATTTGCCAGGTATATATAACAGAAACCATGACATTTCAGAGAATTTAAAATCAAATTAAGTATAGTATAATTATTATTGACTAACTCGAGAACCAAGATCGTCGTCATCATCAGCCTAAAAGTGCCCACTGCTGAGCAAAGGCCTCTTCTCACCACGCTTGCTCAATGTGGGTTGAATTCAAACTTATAATTAGAAATTACAAGTCCAGGTTTCCTCACGATGTTCACCTTCACCGTATGTCAGTGGTGTCTAAATAATAATAGAAAGTACATGTAACTCGGAAAATGATCATTGTTAAGAGTTTTAGTACTTTCCATGACCGAATTATTTTAATGGTGATATTAAAATTCTCGGATGGACCTCCCTCTTCCCACATCTCCATACCCCATATCCTAATAATAATCCTCAAATCAAATCTATCTCCCAAAACCGACGCACTACCGACCTATCCCTTGTAAATGAATCATCATATCAAATGTTTAATCACCACCGACTACCACTATAATCCCCATTTAATCCCCAGGCAGCGGAAAAACAACCCAGATACCACAGTTTCTCTACGAAGCAGGGTATGCAGAGCACAAGATGATAGCTGTTACGGAGCCCCGTAGAGTGGCTACCGTGGCTATGGCCGCCCGAGTCGGCTATGAATTGGGATTGTCCAACAAAGAGGTTTCTTACCTCATGCGGTTTGAGGGTAACGTTACAAAGGACACCAAAATCAAGTTTATGACTGACGGTTCGTATACCTTTATTGTCTATAATAATATTAATTAGTATTTAGAAATAAAAATAGACTTACCCCAGTTATCCGACTAGTTTCGAGCTTAATTTGTATGCGCTCCGGCTTAGCCCGAGACTAGACGAGCATCTCCGAATTAGAATTAATAAGTTTAAATTTTATTTAAATGTTACTAAACAATAAATATATACGTCAATAAATGAAATAAGTCAAAATTTGATTGCACAATTGACACGGTGGCTGGGCAACTGGGTGCCGTGAAACTTGCTCGAGATCCACTTCTTCTCGGTGTGTGGTCTGGGTGTGATGGGTATGACGCCTTAACTACGACTACACACATATTAATACCTAGTTTTAATTGAAATAAACTTTATTGTAATAATAATAATAATATATTACAGGAGTCCTTCTCAAAGAGATTCAATCAGATTTTCTTCTGAGCAAATATTCAGTTGTTATCATCGACGAGGCCCACGAAAGGAGCGTGTACACGGACATTCTATTAGGTCTTCTATCGAGGATAGTTCCATTGCGAAGGAAACGAGGATCTCCTCTCAGGCTGATCATCATGTCCGCCACTCTAAGAGTCGAAGACTTTACTGAAAACACCAGGTTGTTTAAAGACCCGCCTCCAGTTATAAAAGTAAGATTTTATTGTATTTTTATTTCTTTGTGATAAGACGGCAAATGAGTGTACGGATAACCTGATGATAAGCATTCAGAGCAGCCCATGGACATCCGCAACACAAGAGGGGTTACAAGTGCGTTGCCGGACTTTTGGAGATTAGGGTTTCAGAGATTTTGGGTATCTCCGGTAATCACACATCGAAACTAAAAGCCGGTTTTCTGTGAGGCCGTGGCATTGCCCCGGTCGAGCCGATTGCTGAGAAAAAGCCTATTTTTACACGAAGAAAGTTTGAATATTAATCACCACACTTACTCAATGACTTCTTGGCGCATTCAAACTTATTATTACAAATTAAGTCCGGGATGCGCCTTTACTTACTGTATGATAAGAATGTGATTTTGTCCGATTTTTTTATGTGATAGATCGGCAAAAGAGCAGACGGATTAACTTATGGTAAGCAATTAAAGCAATCAGCGCCGCCCATGGACACCCGCAACAACAGATGAGTTACGAGTGCGTTGCCCACCTTTTAGGGATTAGGGATTGGGGAGGGATTTGGGCCTCCGGTAACCTTACTCACACGGCGAAACACAACGCTGTGGTTGTTTCGCGCTGGTTTTTTGTGAGGCCGTGGTATAACTCCGGTCGAGCCGACCCATTCGTGCCGAAGCATGGCTCTCCCATACACTTATACAAAATTTCATGTGTAACTCGGAAAACACACATTGGAACTACCTTAGCAATATCAAAATTTCTGACCATTAGGCGATAAACCTAAAAATAATATACTAATCAGAAACTTCACTTATCCAACAGATAGACGCAAGACAGTTTCCAGTGACGAAACATTTCAACAAGAATACAAACAGTGATTATTTGAAGGAAGCGTTTAAGAAAACTGTAAAAATTCACACTCGGTTGCCCGAAGGAGGCGTATTGATATTTGTTACCGGACAACAGGAGGTGAGTTCTATATAGTTTCTCGATAGACGTAAGGCATAAAAAAATATTTATTATGCACCTAATTTTTTATTTGACAACATTTCTGAAGTGGTGTCTGGGCTACTGCCTGACATGTCCGCACGGAGCAATGTGATACACAAATTGTTGTTCCGGGTCTGGGTGTGATGTTTTTATGTGAAATTGTATGTTTGTAAATGCACCTCGGACCCAGGAAGATCCGTTTTTTTAATTAAAATGTATTTATCAAATCCCAAGCGAACACCGCCAAATATATTGTTCTTCTATTGTGCCCCTTATTGCCACTGTAGAAAGGTTAAATTATTGCATATATAAAAATACTAGCTACTCTCGCGCGGTTTCACCCGCTGCTCAGCTACATTTGATCGTAGTGTGACGTTTTAGACTATGGCACTCAGGAACATTGTAGCTATCTATCAGTGAAAGAAATTGGCAATCCGACCAGCGGTTCCAAAGATTACCCCCTACATACAAACTTACAAACCTCTTTATAATAATAGTATAGATTTATTTATTATTATATAATATAATAAATTTGTTCATTATTTAAAGAACGTTATTATACATGTAAACCATCGTATTAAATCATTTTATCTATTAAAAAAACAGCATCAAAATCCTTTGCGCAGTTTTAAAGATTTTAGCACACAAAGCGACTTCGTTTATACCATGTAGTGATAATATTTTGTGTTATAAAACTGTAATACCAATTTCTAGGTGCACTATTTAGTCAAAAAACTAAAGGCTGCTTTCCCGTACCGCAAAGATGTGGATTACACGAAGCTTATCACCAAGAATAAGCCGGTGTCAGACGCTGATGCTGCATTGGATTCCGAACCTGAAGATATCGAGTCTGATGATGATGAGGTAGGTAACGAGGTTTTAATAATTTTGGCGTTTGCCCCACTATCTCGCCTGATGGTAAGCAGTGATGCGACCTATGATGGAGCACGCCTACTAGTCGTAAAAGTCACAGTACATAACTTCTGCAAGTTTTAAAATGTCTTCTTCTATTTCTTCTCTCTCTCTCTCTCTCTCTCTCTCTTTCTCTCTCTCTCTCTTCTCTCTCTTTAGACTCTTCCTACGGCTTGGGCGTAAGTCTTTTACAGTTTTATTGCCATTTTATTCGGTTTTAAGCTGTACCTATCTATTTCGCGCCCATTGTTTGTTTGATGTCATCATACTAACGCATCTATTTTATCTATTGATTTGGGTAAATCATCAAATAATTTTTCTATCCTTAGAAGGAGCGAGAGGGAGTGTCAGACTCTTACTGACTTCAGACCCCTCCGTTTCTTCTCATGTTCTTATTTAGGGCCGCGCCACTTGCGCACGCGCGTTTCTGATTTCGCAATAATGTGTTTTGTGCCTACTGCAGCTAACACGGTTAGCCTTGATTGGTTGGTTTTTTATGGTATAGGTCGGCAAACGAGCAAACGGATTACCTGATGGTAAGCAATCAGCGCCGCCGCATATGCAACACTAAAGGAGTTACGAGTTCATCGCCGGCCTTTTAGGGATAGGGGTTTTGGATATTTAAGGATTGTGAAGAAATGGGGAGGGGGAGGGATTGGGCCTCCGGTAACCTCACTCATACGGAGAAACACAACGCTATGGTCGTTCCACTCTGGTTTTCTGTGAGGCCGTGATGTCACTATGATCGAGCCGAACCATTCGTGCCGAAACTTGGCTCACCCACACTTGGTTAATTTGTAACAAACCAATCAGATCGCCGAACGTCTTAATGTAAAGTAAAATCATCACTAGGCCCTCTAAGCCTCTTTAGATATATTTGTATTTTATTTTATTTTATTTATTTGGCTCACCAACAATTGTTTACACGATAAAATATTAAATACATTCATCATAATACAATACTTGTGTAACAATCTCTTATAGGTAAGCACAGCATGCACTATACTACTTAGTTAAAGTTAAGATTACAGATTACATACAAATAATTATGACATTACATACAAATAGTATTAAATATTCATAATTTGTTACTATTATTTTATAGGTAGAAAGAGAAATGAAACGCGCTCGCAAAGCCCGGAGAAAGGCTAAGAAGAAGTCTAAGACTCTGCCTAAGATCAACTTGGATGACTATGACATGCCGGAAGATGATGGCCAGGCGGACCTGGTGGATGATGAGGATAGCGAGGGGCATCTCAGTGATTCAGGTCTGTTTTAGTATTTAGTTCAAGAATATTTCTAGTATATTACATTTTAATCATCATCATCATACATAGGCCTCCCTAATTGCAAGCCACTGAGCTCCATGTTCAGCTCTTTTCATCCAACCACTGCGAGCCACCCTGCGGATGTCATCAGTCCACCTAGCAGAAGGGCGCCCTACACTACGTTTGCCTAGACGCGGTCTCCACTCTAGAACACGTTTACCCCAACAGTTATCGGTTCTTCGAGAAATGTGATCTGCCTACTGCCACTTCAGTTTGCTAATCCTTTGGACTATGTCGATAACTTTAGTTCTCTGTCGGATCACCTCGTTTCGAATACGATCCTTCAGAGAGACTCCAAGCATAGCCCATTCCATAGCTCGCTGCGCGACTTTAAATTGGTGGATCAGTCACTGTAAGTGTCCACGTCTCGGCTCCGTATGTCATCACTGGTAGGACGCACTCATTGAAGACTTTTGTCTTCAGGCTTTGCGGTATTTTTGACTAGAATACCCGACCAAGTTTCCTATATGCTGCCCAGCCAAGCTGTATCCTTCTACGAGCCTCCCTCTCGAAGTTGTTTCTACTGAACTGGATAGTTTGCCCGAGGTACAGGTACTCTTGAACAACCTCGAGAGGAGATTAATTGATGGTGATCGGCTCCGGGAGAACATGTTTGCACCTTCGTTTTAATCTCTTTTATATATTTTTTATATATGTAACATTTGTCTCTGTGATCCGTGGCATCACCAGGCCCTATATACCAGCGCTGCGGTATTTTTACCTTTTGGTGAGTAATCGCAGCATATGCTGAGATAGGAGCCTTTTTGACCTCGCACATGTCTTTTATTATTTGTAATCATTTTTGTTATTGTTTTATTTTATTTTTCTTTTTGTATGTTTAAAATGTTATTGTTCTTGTATATATATTCTTTAGTAACTAGCTTCTGTCTGCGTTACCCTTTTGAATGTAGTTTATTTGTTATTCCAGACTATAATTTATGTGTAAGCCAGTTTTATCAAAATACGTTCAGTAGTTTCAAGTGAAAGAGTAACAAACATGGCACATACATATGTGGACCCATCCATACTTACAATCTATCGTGTTTTTAACATTAGTAGGATTTGTAAGTGGCTGTATGAAACTATCTGTTTGTTAAGTTTATATTCTGTGGCTGTTGTATAAAACTACCACAGATAAAACCCAATAGGGCCATGTTCAACTGGAGTTGCGGGGCAACTGCAATAAGGTACCACGGCCTTGGCCTGGAGCGGGAGGGTTTTTAGTCAGTAAGAGACTGACACTCACCCTCGGGAACAGGAGGGTTTTTAGTCAGTAAACCTGACACACCCTCTCGCCATAACTTCGGCGAGATAAGCCATTTGACGATTTTCTCCACTCCTAAACAAAAGCTGTTGTATGAAAAAAGTTTGTAAATAAAGTTAGACCTCACTAGGATTTTCTTCTTTGTTGTGTGTGCGTTTACAAATATTACATTCACATCTGGAAAAACAATTTTAAACTTTTCTGCTATCGTCCTAAATTCATGGGACCATTTCTGACATATAGCGGTTAATTTTAACATACATTCGCTAACAAAATATATCTATTTCTTCAACTCTCTAGACGCCGAAGAAGATTCCCTAACTCCAGCCATAAAATCGTGTCGCCAACCTCTATGGGTGTTACCTTTGTACTCGATGTTGAACCAAAATAAACAAGCCAGGATCTTCAACCCCCCGCCGGCTGGAGCAAGGCTCTGCGTCGTCAGTACGGATGTGGCTGAAACATCGATCACCATACCATCTATCAGATACGTTGTGGATACTGGAAAAAAGAAGATGCGGTGAGTAGGCTGTTCTGTTTTTGTTCTGTTTATTTATTAGGGTTTCAATGTTTTAAGAGTGTTTCAAATTGTGTCTTTAATTACCATAATTGAAATATACAAGATAGAAATTTGGTGGTCCTTCAAAATTAAAAACTAAATTAGATTTAGGTATATTTTCAAAATTTTATTAATTTTATATTTCGAAAATGTTTTTAATTAAACTTTAATGTATTGCGTTTAAGTATCAAGTTTCTTTTTTTTAAATCGGTTCAGTAGTTTTATTAGATAGAACTTAAAACTTTTATGGAAGCCCATGCCACGTAAACGCTTTCAATTGTACAGAGAGCCATGCTTTATTTGCACTACTAGGTCCGCTCGACCAAAATGATACCATAGACTCACAAAAACGGCTACCTGCCTAGACCTAGAAAAACAATTTATGGATCACACAAAGTGTGGTTCCGTCCATTTTATCCAAATGTCAAAAACTAATACCGTGCTGTGAAATTGTTATGTAACTGAATTACGAAGTTATAGTATTTTTGCGTCAAATGTTTTGCTTACTTATTTCTTTAAAAACATCCAAAACGTAGTGTATCGGCAGATCAATGAATAAAAGTGTAGTTATTTTTCATTCAATATTTTCTTGTATATTGAAACGTCGAATTAATTTATTTTTGAACTAGAGTCATCCAATTGGACTTGCGACACTTTACTCGCAACCAGTTGGCCAGTCAAGTCAGGCAAGCCAGTCAATAAAAGAATGATTTACGTTTTCCAGCGTCTACGATCACGTGACCGGCGCAAGCGCATGGCGCATAGTTTGGACGTCGCAAGCGAGCGCTGAGCAACGCGCGGGTCGAGCCGGTCGAGTGTCGAGCGGACACGCGTACCGTCTGTACAGTAGCGCCGTCTTCCAACACGAATGTCCTGAACAACACCCACCTGACTTATGCAGGAGGCCTGTCGACGATCTCGTATTGACTATGAAGTGTATGGGGATAGATAAGGTGTGTATTTAAGTATTGAGATCAGTTTGATATTTATATATTAATATGCTAAGTTTACAGGCAAACTTACCAAATTATAAAGTAGCTTAGACAATCGTAAGCCGATAAATTCTCGTTAGACCCGTCTTTAATACTGGTTAGACAGACGCCATGGCGTCCTTACGTAAGTTTAGGGGGGTAGTTGTATTTGATCCAGCGGGAGAAAACGCCAGGGTGTCGTCATTGTGAGGACCACCCTGAGGACACGGTGGAGCATACGGTGGCAAAGTGCTTGGGCTGAGGTCATCCGTGTCCTCAGGGAAATAATCGGCGGCAGCGACCTCTCGCGCCCGGCCTTAGTCGAGGCCATGGTGCGGAGCGAGAGGAACTGGGAAGCCATCTCCTCTTTCTGCGAAGCAGTGATACTCGCAAAGAAGGAGGTGTAGTGCGTAAGAGAAATGTCCATCCACGCTCCAGTATAAGTCACTCCGTGCGTCGGGATTGCGTACTACTTACTACTTACGTGGTGAGCAAGGGTAGCTCGCCGCCAGACCGCCAAAACGCCAATATAGCCAGCTACGGCTAGAGAAAAAATTTTACGATATTTCGGGATCAAAAAAAAAAAAAAATTTTGTTTATTTACCTAACTCTCAAATGTTGACTTTATTATTTTTATTATACTTAGTTTAAGTTCATTCCGTGAGGTCACTAATAACACATTGTTGTCTAATGAAGTGATGGAAGTCTTTATTTTAAGCTGGTACAAATCTCATTGAATTTTACAGGTAGTAAACTTCCCGTTCCCGACGGCCCCCGACAGAATGCAGTTGCGCTTAGCTGAAAAGCGGCTGGAAGCCCTCGGTATCCTGGAGAAGCCTCCTATGAAGGACATCAGGAAGGATGATGAAGAGGTATTTCAGAATATCATTATTTTTTTGGACAATGTTGTGGGTTATGCGTTTTTACAACTGCAATGTTGACTCTCGACTTGACTGAATTAAGACTAAGACTGAGGCTGACAGAGTCGCGGTGGCTAGGCAACTAGCTGCCGTGCTACGTGTTGCGGGTTCGATTCCCGCACGGAACAACACTGTATGATCCACAAGTAGTTGTTCCGGGTCTGGGTGTCATGTCTATGTAAAATTGTATGTCTGTAAACCACGACACAGGAAAAAATCTCAGTATACACAATATACAATGTAATTTTATTATATTATATAATTTTATATTATTAAAAAAAAAGTAACTACTTTTTTGTCATTCTGCAATATATAACTGTTTGTCCCAAATAAATAAAATAAAAAAGTAGCAGAGCCATCCTTTGCAGGTATAGGTCAGTTCGAACCTAGGGATACAACGGCCTCACAGAAAACTGGGGAGAAATAATACTTGCGTTGTTATCCGAGACCCAATCCTCCCTCCACTCCATAACCAATCCTCCAATACCTAAATGACCGCCAAGGCTCTTAGAACTTTTCCAGTGTTGCAGATATATTCTAGATATAGATTACAAGTTGACGCGGTGGCTGGAAAACGTATCATAAGGTTCGGTAATCCCATTGAACAACATTTTGTTTGATTCACTGATTGTTGTTCTGGGTCTGTGTATGTAAACGCATCAACGACACATGCAAAGTTCCTAGTATTTGGTAAAGTTAATAAATTAATGTATTACATAAATTCTAATATCTCTGTGGGAGAGCCATGTTTCCCTACGAATTTGTCGGCTTGACCATATTGATACCACGTCCTCACACAAAACAGGCGTGAAATAACCACAGCGTTATGTTTCGCCGTATGAGTGAAGTTACCGGATGCCCAATCCTGTACCCGATTCTCCCAACTTACAATCCCTAAATGTTTGGAACTCTGATCCCCAAAAGCCAATTGCATCATATCACATAAAAGAGTTCTATATATAAAAATTCAATAACCAATTAAATATTTCCAACAGGTGCTTAAAGTGACTCCGCTAGGCAAGGCAGTGTCTGCATTCCCCCTTCTGCCCCGCTACGGCAAGATGTTAGCTCTCAGCCATCAACAGAACCTGCTACCCTTCACTATAGCGCTCGTGTCAGCGCTCACTGTACCAGAGGTAAGTTTTGGTCTGCAGTACTCGTATTTTTTTTATCGATTTTGAACCTTATTATCATTATCATGATTCATCTTAACCTTAATATATGTTGTTATGAAACATATCTAATAATAAAGACCTTAAGTCAATGCATTAATTTTTTAGATAACAAAAAAAAAGAAAAACAGGCTTAGATAACAAAAGTGTTGCGTTGAATTATTTCAGTATATATATATTTTTATGGAATAACTCGGCGTACGAGCAAGCGGATTACCTGATTGTAAGCAATCGGCGCCGCCCATGGACACCCGCAACACCAAATGAGTTACGAGTGCGTTGCCTTTTGGGGAAAAGGGTTGCGGACTTAAGGATTGGGAAGGGATAGTGGAGGGTGAGAGATTGGGCCTCCGGTAACCTCACTCACACGGCGAAACACATCGATGTGGTTGTCTCACGCCGGTTTTCTGTGAGGCCGTGGTATCACTCCGGTCGAACCGACCCATTCGTGCCGAAGCATGACTCTCCCACACTTTTTATTCACACTCACACACTCTTCATCACTTTTCATCATTCTTTTCATAAAATTCTCAGGTAATGACCGGGAAACCAGATAGTTGGCCAGCGACTGGCAATGTTCTCTTGCTTGGCGATCCTGGCGTGTTACTCCGTGCTATTGGCGCGGCGGAATACGCATATGTAAAAGGGGAAGAAGAAATATTCTGCGCCAAATATGGACTTAGAGAAAAGGTAAAAAATATATTTATTGATTACTTAATTAAAAAAAAACGTTGCCCTACACTAGGATTCTCCTGTGGCGTGGGTGAGGTCACAAACATACAATTTCACTTACACGTCACACCCAGACCCGAAACAACAATTTGTAAATCACACAATGAGTTGTTCCGTCCGGGAATCGAACCCATGACACGTTGCTCGGCAGCCAGTTGCCCAGCCACCGCACCAACCATACCAACCAAAAACTATTTAATATTTATATATTTAGATTAGTAACTGTTTGACAACTCGACCAGTTTCAGGCACGCAAGGGGCTCATATTTATGCGAGTGTTTGAGGGCAATTCTTCAGTATGGCGGCAGCACGATTATTTAAATTGAATTTTGATGGAGTTTTGATCAGTTAACACAATTTATAGGACGATAGTGCAACGCATAGTACTCTGGACGGACAGTTCTGCGTGCGCATTATGGTTGACAGCAAGCGCTGTGACTGTCATATGAGACGGATCGCCGACGTCCGTTATTTTTGTAGTTTATTTGGTCTGATTATAAAATCCTATGACCTGCGATGGACCGTAGAGACGATGATCGGGATGTTGATGTTTGGTGTCCTGTGCCTTCAAGTATAAATAGGCAGAGGACAAAATGATAGACCATATTTAAAAAAATAATACTATTTTCTTTTCTTACAAGTCTTTTTTTCGAAAAATCCTATTTTTTTTTTCTCTATTTACTAAAGAAATAATCTCTTTATTATCTTTTCTAGGCAATAAAAGAAATACGCAAACTTCGAAAACAATTGACCTCAGAAATCAATCTAAGCGTGGCGGGGGTCGATGTGGTGGTAGACCCCGAAATGAAACCCCCAAACGATAACCAGGCTCGGCTGTTGAGACAGTTGGTGCTCAGCGGCTTAGGGGACCAGGTTGGCAAGAAAATAGCTCTTGAAGAAGTTAAACAAGGTTGGTACCTATATCTATATAATTATATAGAAATTATTGCCATGTTTCGTTGTAATCTTTGGCTAATTTTGGTCTTGAATCTTTCGTGGAAGCCCAGAGAAGGTTTGTACGTATAAAAATTAAAAAAAAACTTGAAAAGGTGTAAGATCACACTAGTAATAATATATTTGCTAAAGTAACACCCGGTTTCCGAAAGGCCGATCAATGTTAAACTCAATTTAATCTCTTGTCAAGTCATCTGATTGGTTGTTGATAATTCAGTCAACCAATCAGATGATTATTAGTTAATTTTAGCGTTGACAAGCCTTTCAGAAACCGGGTGTCAGTCTTCAATCAGGACTACCGGTCTTTTCGCTAGATGGCGTTAAATAACAAAACAGTTAAATTGTTTAAATTAGTATAGATGCCGCATATGACGTCATTAACTTATATAGTACTATAGATTTTACCAGAATAAGTATTAAAAATCATAAATCATGCAATTTTCACCCTTAAAACCCACAGGAGAAGACAAAAGAAAGTTCAAATACGCGTACCACTGCGGGGAATTGGAAGAACCAGTCCATTTGCACTCTGATTCCATACTAAGAAAGACCATTCCAGAATGGGTAGTGTTCCAGGAATTGTATGAAACTGGATCTGATGAGAGACGGAAAATGGTTATGAGAAATGTAACGGCTATAGAACCAGAGTGGCTGCCTTTATTGGTGCCTCAGTTGTGTAATTTAGGTAAGAATTTTTATATTTTATATCTATCTATAATATAAAAATGAATCGCGAAATGTGTTGGTAAGCGCATAACTCAATAATGCTTGGACCATTTTTGCCAATTCTTTTTTTGTTATGTTCGTTATTGTAAGGAGAAGGTTCATAGGAAAGAAAACTTTAGAAAAGTAAAGGGGAATATATCGGGAATTGACAACCCTATTGGTGCCGCCCGAAACCGGTCGCTTTCAAAACTAATGACGGACACCGGGGTATGCCCATGCGAAGCAAGGGCGATCTGCTAGTTTATAATAGAAAAGTAGCAGGAAAAACTCGCATGGTATGGTATTATAGTTTCATTGGCAGTTTAAGTATGGGAGACAGAGATAGCTAGCGCTGTAAATTTTATTTGAATTCTTTGACGTCACTGAACGCGTGACCTAGTTTTAATTATAATGTAATTTTACATTCATTAGTGTAATAAAGACGCTCCGAAGCATCTGTTGGCCTGACAATTACCAAACCTCATCATCATCAGCCTATATAGGTGAGCACTGCTCAGCCCAACTCAGCTGAAGTCCCCTTACATGAAAAAACCTGAGCGAGTTGATAGCACCCGTGTCACCGCGGCCTCGGCCTTGACCAGGAGAAGGAACGGGGGTGTTTTTAGTCAGTAAGAGTCTGACACTCCCTCACGCTCGATCCTGGGCAGGAGAAATTATTTGATGATTTTCCCCGAACAAAAAAAAACAGCACCCGTTGACAGGAGTTGTCAGATGTCAGGTCAGATCTATGACTATAATGCCTAACCAGACTTTGCTTCTTCTGGACCAAAGAAGACTTTACTCAGCAGTGATCACTTAAAGGCTGATGATGATCAGGTTTATCAAAGAGGTTTTTACTGTCTCTTAGTCTACTCATCTTATCACAACCGCGTGAAGAGAAGTATTATTTGATCATCAATTCTCCTTCCTTATTTTCTAGGCGAACCTCTAGATGATCCTCCGCCTAGATATGATGAGAAGTCAGGAAGAGTCAAGTGTCACTTTAAAGGTACTTTTGGTAAAGCTGGATGGGAACTACCCACTGCTGAAGTGGATTATCCGGAGAAAATTGACAGATACAGGTATATAATTGATTATTATAGTATTAGACGTTTTTATGCGACAAGTCGATAAACGAGCAGACGGATAACCTGATGGTAACCAATCCACGCTGTCCATGGATGCCTTACCGAGCTCTTGGAGATAAGAGATTTAGAGATTTTGGGATTGGGGGAGGGGAAAGATTGGGTTTCTAGTAACCCCACTTATACGCCGAAATACAACGCTGTGACAGTTTCACGCCGATTTTCTGTGAAGCCGTGGTATCACTCCTGTCGAGCCGACCCATTCGTGCGGAAGCTTGATTCTCCCATACTTATGTAATACAATATGTGATTTATCCGGGGTTGCGGGGCAAGCGCAGTAAGGTACCGTGGCCTCGGCCTAGATCAGGAGAAGTAATTTGAATATATTTATTTATTTATTTAAGACTTCATGCACAAAACATTGTACATAGGCGGACTTAATGCAATGAGCATTCTCTACCAGTCTACCTTTGGGTGATGCAGAGATAATCTAGTGGCAGATGCAGAAGCAAGGAAATTCAATTGAATATACCAAACATATATATAAAAATATACATAACACACTTTACATACATACATACTATATACATACAGTACAATACATATTTATAAGGCAGTAAATATATATATATATACACATATATATACGTATATGCAGTCATAGTCCCGATGATTCCCCCAACCTCTTCAAAAGAAGCTCCCGAACTCTCTGCTTGAAAGACAGCCGACTAGTCAGGATCCTGATATCGGGGGGTAGCGCATTCCACAGAAGAATAGCCTGAACGAAAAATGAGGAATGGAGAAATTTTGAGTGATGAGTTGGACAGTTGAGGAGACGATTGTTAGAAGAGCGAAGGTATTTATTGTGGTTTGCGCATGTGTATTGGAAGTAAGAGGACATATAGCTAGGTGGGCAAGGTGAGTTAAGAAAGGAAAATAAAGTGGTTAGCGCCCTTTGCTCCCTACGCTGGCGTATAGGCAACCACTTCAATTGCAACCGATGTGCAGAAACATGATCATATTTGCGTAGGTTGAAAACGAAACGAATGCAGTTATTCAGAAGTCGGTCGAGTTTATTGAGGAGATCTGCATTCAGGTCATAGTAACAAACATCAGCATAATCTATTATAGGGAACAGCAAGGCCTGTACAAGCATCGTCTTAGTGACGGGCGGAAGCAAGTTTTTCACGCGGTAAAGGGCCCGCAGCGACCCGGTTACTTTTTTGCACACGTTAGTTACTTGTGTATGCCAGTTTAAACTCCTGTCAATATGTAAGCCTAGGTCTTTAACATTATCGCTGTAAGGGACGATCGCACCGTCGAAAAGAACGGCCGGCAGAGATGCACTGTCAATCTTACCTAGCGATCGAGAGCTTCCGATGATGATAGCCTGGCATTTATTCGGGTTTACCGCAATGCCAAACCGAGCTGACCAGGCACTAATGATGGCTAAGTCATCATTAATTTTTGCGATAGCATCGGCCAAGCAGTCTACGCCAGCCCGACAGTACAGCTGCAAGTCGTCTGCATACAGATGGTACGCACACCGAAGGTCAGAAGTGATGAGATTGATAAAAATAGAAAACAAGAGTGGTGATAATATGCCGCCTTGAGGAACGCCAGCCTTTAATTCGCACCAGCCTGATGATATATCACCATGCTTGACCGACTGCTGACGCTCCTGAAGATAAGAAGAAAACCATGCCAGAGACCCATCAGAGATTGCAAGATGGGATAGGATGGCTAAAGGGAAAAGGGATGAATATATCCTTGTCAACAAAAAAAAAAACACAATGCTTAATTCTGTTGTACTTAACATTTTTATTTATTTTAATCGAATTAACTATAGTCGATAATCGAATGAATTATCTCACAAAAAAACGGTTTGAAACAACCACAGCATTGCGTTTCGCCGTGTGAGTGAGGTTACCGGAGACCCAAGCCCTCTCTCCACCCCTTCGCAATCCTTAAATATACGGCAACGCACTCGTAACACCTTTTCTGTTGCGGGTATCCATGGGTGGCGCTGATTGCTTACCATCAGGCAATCCGAATGCTCGTTTGATGAAATATCCTTCAAAATTAAATGACTCCATTTTGACATTGATATTCCAGATGGTTCGCCCGTTTCCTACTAGAGGGCGCTGTGTTCCCTAAATTGAAGAAGTATACAGGTTCATTACTGTCTCCTCCTTCAACCATGGTGAAGAGTTGGGCCAAGCTGCAACCTAGAACAGAAGTGCTTCTGAAGGCTTTGATAGCGAAGCGAGCGGGTTCTCGGGACGCTTTGCGAAGCGTTTGGGAGGAGAATGGTTCTTGTAAGTATTATTATTATTGATTTATTGTTTTTTGATTCGCAAATGTGACTAACGAGCTAGGTTACAGATTTTTGGAGAATTTATATTTTTTTTTTTTTTTTTTTTTTTTGTTTTCTTTTTTTAAAACGTTGCCCCACACTAGGATTTTCTCCTGTGTCGTGGGTGCGGTTACAAACATACAATTTCACATGCACATGACACCCAGACCCGGAACAACAATTTGTGGGTCACACAAAGAATTGTTCCGTGCGGGAATCGAACCCGCGACACGTTGCACGGCAGCCAGTTGCCCAGCCACCGCACCAACCGTGCATTCCATTGCTACTAAGCACCTCTTATTGAATGTAGCTTTTTAATGTTGTAAATATTCTTGTAATCTGTTCAGTAGTTTTTGAGTTTATTCATTACATACACACAAATAAATAATGTGTTAGATAAATTGTAAAATAGTTATTATTTAAAAATAAAAAGAGTAACGAATGGAGTTTCTTGCTCTTTCTTCTCAATTCGAAATTTTGAATCTACAATTTGGAACGAGCACCTAGCTTCACTGACGAACAGACTGACAGACTACTATTCTATTTTGACGTTTCAAAAGTACCTATTTATGGTTTGGTTGGATTAAATAATAGAAATTCATATTTTAATATTAATGTGAAAAAGTTACAAATGATCTTATCTAAAACTACATACGAAATTATATCCTATAGCCTTAATAACAAAATATGTTTTCATTTCACAGTCCTTCTTGACGAGTATTTGAAATGGGTGCCGGAGTCAGCACACAACGAAGTCAGCTTATATTGGCCGCCTTTGAAATAATTCTTTATCAAATATATTCTACTGTTATCTTGTAAATATTGTAAATAAAGTATTATTGGATATTTTGATGTTTTTTGTGTAGAATATTAGCTACTTTTCGTTTGAATGCCATTGCTTAGCTTCTGTTGATCGAAGCATTGACTACACTTAAATTACAGATTTTTTTTTAATGGGACAATGAAGTTCATTCATACGTTGTTTAATTTGATGGCCCGTTTTCTTTTTTACGTCCCATTTGACGATAAAGGGCACGGAATACCTGATGGTAAGCAATTGTTGCCACCCATATACATTCGTAAGACAAGAGCAGTTACGAGTGCGTTGCTGACATTGGCTGGGATTAGAGCTTCGGAGATTTAGGGATTGGGGGAGCGGAAGAAGAACTGGGTCTCTGGTAATCTCACACAACCAAACACAACGCTGTGGTTGTTTCACGCCTGTATTCTGTGAGGCCATAGTACCACTCCGGTTGAGCCGACCCATTCTTGCCAATGCATGGCTCTCTCACACTTAGAAGACTGTCGAAAAAGGTTTTTATTAAAACACAAAGTCTGATAAAACTATTTGTTATATTTAGGTCAAGTAATTAAAAGTAAAACACATTTGCAATTTTGTGGGCTTCACTGAATAAACATTATAGAACTTTTTAAAAAGAAAAATAAATTGTTAGAATTTTTGTTTATTTATAAAACCCTTCACCGAATCTTATTTATCTTAAAGAAGATATTTTCGACTTTTTTACTTCGATGTAAAGTCAAAATTTTATTGAATTAGGACAGTTTAGGGTATCATACATGATATAGTTATAAAAATCCGGTAGTTTCCAACTAGTGAAATACAATACTTTTATTTTAATATATTATGAAAAATAAAATTAAACCAGAATATGACGTCATCGCCTTGTAACTTGGCCCAGAGCAGGAGGTGGATCGGAGGTTTTTAGTCAGTAAGGAGGTATATTTGGATTTATTATTGTGGTCAAAGGTTAAATGAAGTTCTTTTGTAACGATAGGTCGCCTGAGTAGTCTTGCTTATTGAATAGGTCGGCAAACGAGCAGACGGATCACTTGGTGGTAAGCAAATCTGCGCCGCCTATAGACACCCGTAACTTCAGAGGAGGGCCTTTTATAGTATGTTAGAGGATTTGAGGATTGGAGATTATGGATGAGAGAGGGGAGAAAGATTGAGATCCAAATTCACAAAACTGTTACTGCTAGATATCTAATTTTACCTGCATAAGTACAAAAAAGCTTAACTGACTTCAAAAATATGGACTGATACGGGTAGTGTTCTGTGCATTTCAAGTGATAAAGGTTAATTAATATTAAAGACTAATTTTAGGACATAATGTTATGCCCTTGGCAATTCTAGGGCTAGTTGTCTTAATAATCTTCTGTGAACTTTAGTTGTTGATGTCATAGGCATTGAATCCATGAAGATGACGCCTCCTCGCAATGTCTTTGCATCTTGTAGGGTATCTGTGAATAGAATTATATATTACAATTTAAAAATCAACCAAGTCCCGTGCTAAATGCTATGCTGCCGTGCTATAAGCACTGCTGAGCAAATGCCTCTTCTCACACGAAGAAGGTTTGGAACACACGATACGTTGCATGGCAGCTGGTATTACAACCATAGTTCCAACCGCATTATCATTTAGATTTTTTCTATCTCCAAAATCTCCTTAAAGTGCTCCAACTCCTCTAAATCAGAATCTACCGTGATAAGCAGTTCATAATACCTTTGACTAAATTCTTGATTTCTTCAGCACTAGGTTTAGCGCCGGGTTTTGGCACAACGCAGGCGACAGGCAGGTCCCCCCACTCGCTGTGTGGTATACTCGTTACTGCTACATCCATCACTCCAGGATGTCTGCGAATGACTCCTTCTATTTCTAGTGGCGACATCTGCGTACAAAACAACAATAGGTCAAAAGTAAAGTTTTTTTAAAAAGAGGTCTTTTGGGAGTCATCAATATGGTAGAGTTAAAAAAGTCTGTTCCTCTGTTCGATTGCATGTTTCTGTGTTCCTTATGAAGATTGCAGGAGAGCTAGGTATGCTTCAACGTGAATGGGCCGGGTCGACTAGACAGATAGCAGTGATACCAAGTGACACCTAGCGTGGAACAACTCACGTCGCGTTTCACGGTGTGATTAAGGTTACTGGAGGTCCAATTCCCTATTTTTAAATCGTTTGGTATGACAAATGTCCAAGGGTAAGACCAATGGATAGCAGGTTATAGATCTCCTCGTTTGCCGGCCTATCCCAAAAAGAACTTTTTTATGTTATCGGTGGCCTAGTCCGATGCCCCATTCCTCTTATCTATAATCCCCAAAAGGCCGGCAACGCACTTTTAGTAGAAGAAGCACCTATTTTACTTCTATTAACACCCTTATAACTTCCTAAAGGTCCATGGCGAATGCTTTACACCAAGTGATCTGTCTTTTCGTTTGCCACCAGATGTGATATACGAATCGATACACAGACCGAAGAAATGTATCAATAAAAGTAACAAAGAAATTCTTACCCTGAAATAGCAGCACTTGATTTGCAATTTAATTCTTTCCACAAAATAGTAGTTCCAGTTGTCATCATAATAGAATACGTCTCCAGTTTTCAACCATCCATCGTGGGTTAAAAGCTCTTTAGTGCATTCGACGTCGTTGAAACAGCCCTGAAAGAAGAAATGACCTTAAGACCTAGGAAAGTACTGCTAAAGCATCGTAGTAAGAACAAATAAAAATCTGGTATCAGCAAAAGGAACTTTAATGAGAGGAAAAACAAGTTTGGGAGAGCCATGCTTCGGCACGAATGGGCCGGCTCGACCGGAGTGATACCACGGCCTCACAGAAAACCAGCGTGAAATAACCAAAGAGTTGTGTTTCGGGATCTGAGTGAGGTTACCGTGGGCCTAATCCTTCCTCTCCCCCAATCCCTCCTAAATCCCTAAATCTTCAAATCCCTAATCCCTAAAAGGCCAGCAACGCACTCGTAACTCCTCCGTTGTTGCGGGTGTCCATGGGCGACGCTGATTGCTTACCATCAGGTAATACGTGTGCTCGTTTGCCGACATATCACATAAAAAAAAACTAGTTTCCAGCGACGCTAGAGGCTCGTAAGCAAAGGACAGTATTATGCGATAAGCGGTGCCGGCAAAACTGCTTTTCAATTATTTTTATTGAGGTGGCTTTCTTGAAATGTATCGAAGAACTAATCTTGCCCAGAGTGAGGGAGTGTCAGACTTTTACTGACTAAAAACCCCCTCGTTCTTTCTCCTGCTCTAGGACGGGGGTGGTAGCTTATTGCGCTTGACCGGTTACTCTAGCTTTTGTTCAAACACTTATAAACGTGAGTAAGCCTTAAAATATAGATTTGAAGAATGAGTATAGCTTCTTACTAGGAAAGGAGCCGGCCCTTTGATCCACAACTCGCCTGCGACATTGGGTTCGTTTATATCTTGCTGTGTATCGACGTCTATTAGCTGTGAAAAAAGAAACAATGAATTACTTTTGCATATAGGTCAAAAAACTGTATGAACCCAGCATTTACTATCTGACAACTCTGAGAAGAAATGCCGAAACAAAGTTAGAGGTCAATCTTTTTTAAAGTCCGAACAATGTGCAAGATCATTCTGTAGTGTAGTGGTCTTTTGAGCTAAGAGCCACTTCAGTTAAAGTTACCAATTAATATGGCTGTAACTTGATAGCAAGAATTCAGCCAATTATAAAGTCTTTAGTGGAATCCGCAGCGTATAACACCTACGGGTCGATTCCCAGATATTATGCATTGTAATCCCTGTACAGAAAATCACGAATTTTAAAATGGCGCTTAATGTATTAAAAGGACTTGCCCTTAATGGGGGCTCAAGCACGAATCAGACGGCAAGATTCATCGTGCACTAACTTCCTAAGTTCCGATGGATTGGTTGGTATGATCGCTGTTAGGCTACTAGTATCCCTAAATCGGCCGATCGAGAATGTCCAACCGACCTAAGTTTCAAAGGAATCGTTTCGTCTGATCGCCGCTTTACGCCTTGACTTAACAACCACATCACTGATATAGCAAGATATTGGTTTATAATCATGTTAGCTGTCAAAAATGTATCGTCCAATGACATGGCGTCCACTAATTAATTAAACGGTAGTCCTACTATAGGGTTGGCGATCATCGATATATCAACCTTTAAAATCAACGCTTGGTATTTTTCTGTTTTGGTAAATTACTCAAAGACCTGTAAGATGGCTATGTTTAGTCTCCATAATCTCACTGCTCTTCGATAAAAACAGTTAAGGTTTGATACTCCGATATGGTTATAAATAAATGATGTGATTGTAAACAATAAAAAAGAGACAATTGTAAGTTCTCACCCGATATTGGAAGCATCCCATTTGTTTTCCGCACGATCCTGGCGCTGGATTGTCTCCGAGGAACCCGAGGCCGGCCAGTTCACTCATTCCAAACATATTTATCACTTCTGTGTTTGGCGTCAAAGTCTGGAAAAGTATATTCAGTTTCAGATATGGTGTTCATTACAACCGACTAAGTTGAATTAGGTACTTATTACTAATCCGCGGCTTCGCCTGCGTATAAAAGTTATGTGTACCGGGATTTTTAAAACAGCAGCAGCAGCTATAAAAGCGGTAGCTCGACAATAACACGCAAATCAAGTTTAATTTAATTTAAATTGAGTATAATTAATTGACGAATCTTTTTAAATTTTACGAGCTACTGCCACGCGGTTTCGCCCGCTGTTCGGCTTTAGGTTAATGTTTTTATAGCCTTTAGCACTCAGCAACATTGTAGCTATCATCAGTGAAATAGTTTTGGAAATTCGACCAGCGTTTCCAAAGATTACCTCCTACATACAAACTTATACAAGTTTTACTTCTTTATAATCTTACTTCTTACTAATTTTATAAATACAAAAGTTACAATGTTTGGATGTTTGTTACTCAATAACGCCAAAACCACTGGACAGATCTGGATGAAATTTGGCACAGTCATAGGATACACTCCGGAATAGGACATAGGCTACTTTTTATAACCATACCACGCGGGTGAAACCGCGGGCGGAAACCAGTATTAGTATAGATTTATGAACATCAACATAGAGTGTAACTATATGAAAACAAATATAAGGGCACATCGGTACTGCATATTCCTGATTGAAATGTCTTGAAAGAGAGAAATGGAATCGACACATACCTTGACTTCCTTAATGAGGCTTTGCGATACAGGGAGACCGCATAACACAATTTCTTCAAAGCAGGTGAAATCGGTTTTATTTAGGTTCAACAGTGATGTCATCAAAGTTGGAGAGAATAGCGAGTACGTTGGCTGGGAACAAAGATAACAATATTAGGTAAAATATTTGACGAAGACAATCTTACAGATGGACAGTCAAAATTAACTAACAGACACTGCACTATAACTAATATAGTAAAAGTTAAAATGAAATCACACATCATCACCCTATCTAAGTGCCTACTGCTGAGCAATGGCTTCTTTTCACACGAAGAAGGTTTGAATATTAATCAACACGCTTGCTCGCATATTGCGATTTCGAACTAGTCATTAGTATAAATCCAGGTTTCGTCACGATGTTTTCGTTCACCGTATGTCAGTGGTGTCTAAATAATCATAGAAAGTACTTACCTACTTATAGCATAGCACGGGTCTCCTTTTGTTATAATATGTCTCTACCTATGAAATTGCCGTTTTGCATGAAAAAATTTAAACGAATTTTTTTTATTTAAAATGCCATGAAAATGTAACACTAATCAATAAACAAATGACTACTTTTGGAAAAAGAATCCCATGTTTTTAAACAAAATTAATTAGCCTTAGCCTAACAAAAACTATTTTGATTTGAAATGGCCAGTACTGCAGAACGGCAATTTCATAGGTAAAGACCTATTATAAATTTTGATTTAGACTTGCAATTAGTTTTAATTCGTAAATAAACTGACCTTGTATTTATTGATGAGGTCGCTCATGAGTTCTGGGGAGAGTTTTTGTGAGCTCTGCAGCCGAGTGTACCGGAGTATTGCTGATCTGATGAAGCTTGTTATGGCGGTGGACCATTGCAAAGGAGATCCAATCAAAGCCAGCTTAGTTGGTGTCGGGAATTTCGTGTATTTACTCCTGTAATAAAAATAGGAATTACAAATATATTAGTATCAATCTATACTAAAGAGGTAAAATTTGTAAGTTTGTAAGTTTGTATGTAGGGGGTAATCTTTGGAACCGCTGGTCGGATTGCCAAAATTCTTTCACTGATAGATAGCTACAATGTTCCTGAGTGCTATTGCTGTAACCGCTGCTCGGGTCCATTTAATCGTAGCGTGATGTTTTATAGCCTATAGCAATCGGGCCAGGTAGCTGCTATAGGTAGTATTTAATCGATTTGATAGAGAAAATCTGGTTCGCTTTTTCTATGGGTGGAAAAAGATTCTTTAGTAAGTATACATAGAGAGAGTAGGTATATCAATATTTTTTTCAATAAGGGATTAAAAATATTGGAACCATTTCCATACCATACCAATCATATTTCGTCCTAACCGAATACAACCCAAGTCCAATTAAATTTCACACAAGTCCATCGATCACTCTGCCTCGGTGCCTTGTTCGAGAGCGCACGTGTGTTAAACTTATTTAAATTCTTTCGTCAAAAATAAATACCACACACGGAATTATAATCCTTGTGTTCAATCAAAGCTCACAGTATTTGCATAATTTCTCTTTGCATCGTCTTGCGTTTCGTGAGTCGCCAGGTGCGTGTGCGAGTGACCGCGAGCCCGCCTTCGCCCCCGCAGAAAGAGCACGGCCGTCATAATTGCTATCCTTCTCTTACTTTTGTGACTTACCGGTTTTTGCCAACGAGCCGATACAACTGCAAGTGTACGTGTGTGTGAATTGGTGTACTCATGTCGATACAAAGCACACCGCCAGCCACGGGAGCAAAAAACAATATCCCGAGGGAACTATCAATGTCTGATTCGGACATTCCAAAAGCTTTACACAGCGATGACAATGTAAACACCCAGTCACGTCATAAGCGGCCCCGCTGCGATTAACGCCTAGTAAGACGCTCGAGGAACACAATCTTGAGCTTAAATCCATGCTGAGAACCTGGAAGCAGGAACAGGAGGAGCACATGCAAAGACTGGTGGAGCAACAAACTTCTGCATTGGAAACAGTTGTTTCTGAGATTAAGGTTCTAAAAACTCAAAATTCTTCAATACAGAACATTAATCAAGAAATTCGAGACTCAATTGACTTTATGAACAGCAAGTTCGAAGAGATGAGGCAGCAAGTGGATAATTTGAAAAGGGAAAACCAAGCCTATAAAATCAGCATAGCCAATCTGGAGAGAAAGGTCGAAGATCTACAGGTGCGGTCTCATACATCAGATAACGACCTGACTGACAAGCTATCCGGAATGGAGTTGAAAATTGAGTCATTGGAACAGCAAGCTCGACTCAATAACATTGAGATCTGCAACCTGCCTGAGAGACGCGACGAAGACCTTCTCGAGCTCGTTGAAAAGATCGGTGCTACTATCAAATGCTTAATTCCCCGTCAAGAAGTGCTGGCAGTTCACCGTGTCCCCCACGCGCGCGCTATGGAAAACAACAAGCCTAAGAACATAGTCGTGAAGCTGGCCTCTCGCACCCTTCGTGATAATGTTTTAAGTGCCTATCGTCTGTGTAAAAATGTCACCTCGGACCTAATCGGTATGTCAGGTACTCCCCATAAGATGTATTTAAACGAGCATCTCACCCTCTACAACAAACAGTTATTTCGTACATGTCGTGAGGTGGCTCGGAAATATAACGTTAAGTATGTCTGGATTAGGAACGCAACTATACTTGTCAAGGCTACTGATGGCTCTAAAACATTTGCTGTACGTTGTCAAAGTGATGTCAACAAGATTGCGCAGTGTTATCGTCAAAATGAGTAATTTATATTTTTATTACATACTGGCATTTATATTTATTATGATTGTTTATTTATGCATCGATTCATTTTTACATATTTACCTCAAACTAATGTTAAACACTCGTATTGTAAGCCTACAGTGTATCTTATTATTAATTGTGGAAACCGGTTTCTTGTCATTGTTTTCTGAACCTTCTCGCTTTTGTTGGTTTTATTCTTATAGGTACGTAAACATCAATGACCTTGACCTTGTTTATACGTTGTGCATATTATTACATTTTTATCTTCAAAGCTTGTTACTTAAAATCCGATTATTAGATGTTGTTATTAGCACTCATAGCCAAAACCATGTACTCGCATATTCCTCAATTTTATACCGCTACCCACTGCATACGGAATCCAAGTTTTCAAATATACCCGACTCAAATAAATATGTACCACTTTATATTGAATACTTATGTGTTAACCTAATTACACGCAATGCTTGGTAACTATGATTTATCAATATTTTATCAGAACTGCAGAGGGATTCGCACTAAATTGCACACACTTTACACCAACATTCTTTCCTTATCTTATGATGTAATCATTTTGTCTGAGACCTGGCTAACACCTAATATAATGGACAAAGAATTCATTGATGACCGATACATAGTTTTTAGAGAGGATCGTGACCGCATTGCTACAGGCAAGCGAGAGGGTGGGGGCGTCCTAATAGCCGTGCTACGCGAGCTTCGGCCCGTGAGGATATCAACTTTTCCCTCGCCTGCTGGTATTGAGCACGTTATGATCAAAATGCCTGCGTCGCGCTGTAACACTCACCACGTCATTAGCGCTGCCTATATACCACCACGAACACACGACGACGTTTACCTGTCACATTTGTCCACATTAGAAAATATTCTTACAGCACCCTGTGTTGAATCATTCTATATCGCAGGCGATTATAATCTGCCTGATATTGAGTGGTCGGACGGTGTTGGTCATGCTTGTACTCATTCACAAAGTAATGTGGGAAGATCTTTGCTGGATCTAATGGCTATTACGAGCGCTTCACAACACAACACAATTAAAAATCAACTCGGTCGTATTTTAGATTTATTCATCAGCAATACTGAATGTCAGCTACGATCCGACATTTCAGTTTTGCAGGCCGACAGTCACCACCCTCCATTTTCTGTGTTGGCCCACCTCGAGGCACCATTTCAGCCCATGAAGCGTCACTCTCCAATAAAATACAATTACTTCAAAGCTAATTATCAAGAAATTAATACAGCAATAATGAAGTTGAACTGGGATGAACTTTTACTCAATCTCTCCTGTGAAGAGTCCGTCGATACTTTTTACGACCGCATATATGGTATTGTCAGATTACATGTTCCGCTTTCACGCCCAAAATCTAATACCTTTCCCGTATGGTTCAGTTCTTCCCTTATTAAAATTTTCAAAAATAAAGAACGCGCATGGATACGGTGGAAAAAAATGCAAAACTTATCTGATTACGAAAAGTTCTCTATTCAGCGTAGACAATTCAAACAACTATGTGAACAATGTTACAAAAAATACATGCAAACTGTTGAAGAGAGCATACCCGTCAATGTCAAGCATTTCTGGAAGTATATCTCTAACCGAGGGAAGGGTCCTGGAATCCCAGCCAACATGCAGTACAAAAATAATTCAACAAACTGCCCAGCGCAGATATGTACGTTATTTTCTGACTTCTTCTCCTCGGTTTATGAGCCTCCAACTTATGACCCTAGCACCTGGACACCGCCAGAAACCCTTCACGAGAGTTCTGTATGCATTCCGCACATTTACCTTGCAAAAGATGCCATTCTTAAGGCACTCAACTCATTAGATTTAACTAAAGGAGCGGGCCCGGATGGTTTGCCTCCATCTTTCTTAAAGTACACAGCACAGACCATCTGTGTTCCATTGCACATTATATTTAATAAATGTCTTGGAGAAGGGATTTTCCCAAGCATTTGGAAGAGGGCTTTCATCACGCCTATACATAAAAGCGGTGACAAATGCAATGTTGAAAATTATAGGCCCATATCTATCTTATCCACCTTGTCTAAGCTTTTTGAGAGTTTAGTGCACAGCCACTTGTTACCACAGTTAAATCACCTTATTATACCCGAGCAACATGGTTTTGTTAAATCCAAATCCACCACTACAAATTTAATGAGCTTCACACAATATTTGTTTGAAAACATGGATGTGCGCACGCAGGTTGATGCTGTTTACACTGATTTTCGGAAGGCTTTCGACAAGGTGGACCACAAATTACTACTCGATAAAATTGCTTTCAATGGCATAAGAGGGAATTTACTCAGATGGTTTGCTTCATATATTTTTCACAGGACTCAAAAGGTTGTCGTCAATGGATTCGAGTCTGACTATGTAGTCGTTGGATCGGGCGTGCCGCAGGGTTCGGTCTTGGGTCCTTTGATGTTTATCTTGTTCATAAACGATATAAAACTCTGCATAATCAACTCGAAATTCCTAATGTACGCTGATGACATAAAAATCTACAAGGCTTGTGCGAACTCTCAAGATTGTTTGCTTCTACAGGAGGACTTATGCAGGATTGCACAATACTGTCTAGTAAATAAACTTCATCTCAGTCTTCCAAAATGTCATTACATTTCATTCAGTAAAAACAAAAATAGTATTCACTTCCAATACACCTTGAATGACACACAACTAAAAAAAACTGAGTGCACGCGTGATCTTGGCGTACTTCTTGATTGCAAGTTGCATCTCGACACTCATATTGACAAGATAGTTAGCAAAGCTTTTCAGATGTATGGTTTTGTCATGCGGTCTAGTAAGGATTTCAAAAACCCTTCTACTCTTCTTTTTCTATATAAAACACTGGTCCGTTCACAGTTAGAATACGCGGTACCCATCTGGTCCCCGTATTATGAAAAATATAAGCATGCTATAGAAAAGGTACAGAAAAAATTCCTTCATGCCATGCACTATAAGTACTTCCATGTAAGGATTCCCTATGCAGATTTGTTAAGGCATTATAAGATGTTGAGCTTGGATTCTAGGCGTTTATTGATTATGGTTATGATGCTACACGGCATATGCAATAATAAATTTAACTGTACTGAGTTGTCTAATAGATTATGTTATGTAGTACCTAGAACTGCTATTCGGCGGGAGGTGCGCGCGCCTCGGCTATTCTATACCCCTCGGTGCAGAACTAAGGCCGGGGTACGGGCCCCTATCCGCCGACTCTTAGAAACCTATAACTCACAATTTATTGACTTCGATATTTTTTCGCTGTCCCAACCTAAATTTAAAAGAGTTGTCTCACAATTTCTTGCAAGTCGTACATAAGTACCTACTCTCCGACTCTTGCTCCCCTCGATCTGTCCGTAAGTGTTAACTAATATTCCAATTTAAATTATATCTTTCTTAACATGCGTTCGCTCTTATACTCATATGTTATTACGTGGACAATGGTGTGGGTTATACGTTATTACAACTGTAATGTCACTACTTTATTGTTAATTCTGCAATGTATAACTGTTTTTTGTCCCAAATAAATAAATAAATAAATAAATAAATAAATCACTAATAAAGATAATAAAGATAATTCTTTATTAGTGATCGATGCACAAGTCCAATTCCGATTTGCGATCGTTTTGGCTTTTGAACTAAAAATGAGTCAATTATAAATTGAATGTACTGTCAACTCTTATCAAAACAAGCTTGTGATGATTGGAACCTTTCTGCATACACCTAATTAAAAAATATATCCTTATTAACCAATATATATAAAAAAAACTTTATTACTTGATGTAAAGAAACTCATAAATAAGAACCTAGTACAGCCTTGAAACTAGTTTCTAGTGCTTTTCGCAGTCAATTCACGTGACTTGGTTAATAGTTTCGATAAATTTAATACGTCTCACGATAGTTTTGGCTCGTAAATCAATTTAAAACCTGACACAGGCACGTATTTTTTTCTTTGTATGAAATTAAGATTACTTTCGAAGTTATCATCGCTTTAAAATATCGTATGATGTTACAATTCGGTACATTTTATAAGTTCAAATTCGTTTTATAAAAATACTAGCGACACTCCCCATTTTGGCACGGGTACGAAGCTGTTACTAAATTACTCCTCTATTTTAAAGGTTTCTGAAAGGCTTGTTTACGATAAAATTAACGAATCTCATGTCAAGTCATCTGATTGGTTGTTGATAATTCAGTCAACCAATCAGATGACTTGACAAGAGATTAAATTGATTTTAACATTGATCGGCCTTTCGGAAACCTGGGGTAAAAGTTAGTATGTAGTGATTGTTTTCATAAATGAGTACGTGTCTTATATTTTTCCATTAGCTACATAAAGAACTATTATATTTTTATTTTTTATATTTTTATTTATCCCTATGTATTCTTTTAGTCCTTTTTTGAGTTTCGTATTAACTAGATCTAAGTATTGTATTTGAACTTACCAAATATGTGGCAAAAGTATAGCAAAATATTTATGAGAATGCGCTATAGCTTTAGGTAGACCCGTGGTTCCGCTCGTGTTAACGACGAACGCCACTGTTTGTTCTGGATCGAAATCGGCACACCTAGAAAACAAAAAAAGGTTTTTATTTTATACTAGCTCTTACCCGCGGCATCGCTCCCGTCATTTGACTACCTACCCTACTCTACCTACCCTACCTACCCTACTCTACTTACCCTACCTACCCTAATTTACCTACACTACTCAACCTACTCTACTCTACCTACCCTTCTCTTCCTACCCTACTCTACATACCCTACTCTACCTAAACTACTCTACCTACTCTACTCTACCTACCCTTCTCTTCCTACCCTACTCTACATACCCTACTCTACATACTCTACTCTACCTAACCTACTCTACCTACTCTATCCTATCCTATGTCCTTCTCCTGGCTCTAAACTACCTCCCTGCCAATTTTCAGCTAAATCGGTTCAGCCGTTCTTGAGTTATAAGTGGAGTAACTAACACGACTTTCTTTTATATATATATATAGACTAATAGCACTCCACAAATTTCCCTACTATATAATAGATTTCATAATACATATTATAAACCTTCCCCTTCAATCACTCTATCTATTAAAAAACCGCATCAAAATCCGTTGTGTGGTTTTAAAGATTTAAGCATACCTAGGGATACAGGGACATAAAAAGCGACTTTGTTTTATACAATGTAGTGATGAAGAAGCAAATAAGCTCGCAAATCACCTGATGTCGCCCATGTACACTAGCAACACCAGATAACTCACAACTGCGTTGTCGGTCTTCATAAGAAGGCATCTAGCTTCACTGACCAACATACTGACAGCAATACTATTCTGATGTTCAAAGAAGCTATTTATGGTTAAGTTGGAATAAATAACTTTGACTTTAATTTGACATTGAATTTAACTTTGATTTTGACTGAAAGACTACGTTCTTTTCTTGAAAGCTTTAAGATCTTATCGGTTCGGAAATACCGCTGATGAGCTCATTCCACGGTTTTGCTTTTTGTAATAGGGTCGGAAGTGGTGTCGTAGACCTAGGTTATTAGTGACTAGGTACTTGTACAAGGTCATTTATTCAACTTAATTGATAATAAACAATGATATCGTTTATGGTTACGCAAATGACGTCTAGAAAAATGCAGTTAAATAGATACTTAAATAAAATACCATTTAGAATAACATCAGCATGAAAGAAAGCTTTTAAAAAACAAATGAAACATTGCCATAATCTATCTAATGTTATCTCCTGCGGCGTGGGCGCATTTACAAACATACAATTTCACATATACATAACACCCAGACCCGAAATTACAATTCAAGAATACCACAAAGAGTTGTTTGTTGCTGTTTCGTGCGGGAATCGAACCAGCGACAATCGCGCGGCAACCAGTAGGCCAGCCACCGCACCGCACCAACCGTGCAGTCAATGTGTTGTAAATCCCCCTTTTCCATACACATATATCCCAATCCTCAAATCCCTAACTCCCAATTATCCACTAGCAAAACACTTAGAACTTCTTCGGTGTTGCAGGTAGCGTCGATTGCTTGCCATCAGATATCAGACTGCAAAATATCGCTGTGTGTGACTTAGTGACGAAACAGTTGAAGATCTATTCGAGTTCCAATGGCGTGTTAGTGGACAGCAAGTCGAGGAAGGCCAGACGATGGATATCTTTATCATCACCACCAGCCTCTATAAATACCCACTGCTGAGTAAAGATTAACTCACATAGTGAGAGAGTTTGAGCACTAAGCACTACGCTGGTTCAAGGCTGAATATCTGCACGATTGGCGTAGTGGCTGGACAACTGGTATGCAAAGTGTTGCGTAATCCACAAATTGTTGTTGCCGGTCTGGTCCGGGTGGCTTGTGTACGTAAATTTATATGTAATTTATGTATTAAAAGCATCCACGACACAACTGAGAATCTTAGAGTAGAAAAAAGTTGTTTTTCTTTTAAAAATGAATATTACTTACTTGAAATCTTCGATTGGTGTGTCATCCTTGTACATTTCCATGAAATCAATGTAATTGCAGAAATCTCCTTTGTCGAAAGTTATGATGTGGGGATTCAGATTCAAGTTCATTGTAGCAAGTTGCGCCTTTGACGCAGCATCACTCTGGCACATGATCACTGAAGGCTTCGAAATGGCCAAAAGTGGTTGTATATCAGCTGAAAAAAAAATAGCTTTTTATATCTTTCATAGGCCATTTGAATATTTTATGCAATAGGTATTGGCTATTCTCGATCAGTTTCCCACTGTTCTTTTTGAGGTGTGAAAATCATCCGTATATTTTCTCGACCAGGGTAAGGCGTTCGAGAGTGTCAGACTCTTACTGGACTAAAAGCTACGGCTTCCATCTTCTGCTCCTGGTAACTAATTTGTACTTGCCCCGCAATCTCGTTACTGCGTAGCTTCTATTGGTCCTAGCCAATAGTTTTTCGTGATAATTACTCGTAAAACAGACAAGCACACAATGGATTGTATGAAGCAAAGAAATCAGCCATTTAATCAATATGTCTGGCCTTACAAGCTGTTAGTTGAAAGGCTAATAAGTAATTGGCTAATGTAAGATCTTAGTTTTCTGCTTAAGGCAAAGCTCTTGATCACTTACCGACTTTTAAACTTTCGCGTTTCATGTTAACAACATAATAATATTATTAAGCGGGTATTAAGGCGAAATGCAATTGTTTAATACTTTGGATGGCTTGACGTTTCGACTTGATTGCACCGGTCGTGGTCGCAAGCAGATTGATTACTTACCAGCTGGTGTATCAGGTGCTATGGCATTCACAACGATGCCAAGATATAGTGCAGCATACAAAGCAATGGTAATATCCAAATGGTTGGGAGCCAGTAGCACCATAACTTCTCCACGCTTGATTCCCAGTTTTCGCAGACTCATTGCGAAACGTACTGATCTTTCCAAAACTGATCCGGACGTTTCTGATTCGCCTGTTGAGCCATCGATCTGCAAAATATATATTTTGTTACTATTGTAAGTGTAAGAGTGAATAAAGCTATTGGACACGCTACATTCCCCTCGCCCCATACCTCCCAAAAAATTTTTATTCCCAAAGGATCAGCAACGCTCTTGCAACTCCTCTGGTGATGTGAGTGTCCATGGGCAGTGTTGATTGCTTACCATCAAGAAAAGTGGCTACTCGTTTGCCGCCATATCACATAAACTAATAGTATGAGTCCCGGTGTGACTTGAATCTATTAGAGCACTTCTCGATTGTTTTTCGTGAGAGATTAGTATATTTGAACACGTTAAACGCCATGGGGTCACCGGTGACCTCCGTTAGCTGAGTATTTGCCTTCAACAGTTTTCTGTCAGTCAACAGTTTTCTGTCAGTCAAAGGCTCAAATAAGTAAGTATAATTTACATCTGAGTTGATATCTGACGATATTTGTTGTGCTAAAATATATTACCTGTAAAAGAAAATCGGGATCATCCTTTAGACCTTGGAGAACCAGTTTGCCTAAATGATATCGGTCGGTAGGGTAACCAGACTTCGCAACAATGCGGCTACTCAAATCACCCATGTAATAGTGGACGGCATCATTGACTCTCTTCTGAGGCGCCATTCTAAAAGTAATAGAGGTTTCCGAAGGAGTTTCTATTTCAATTCAGCAAACTGTAACAAAAGACGACATAAAATTATATTATACGACAGACAATTTTTTTTCTATGTTGCAATAGGCCATCTCGGATGGGGTCCAACAGGGCCGATGTTTGGCCGGGGTTGCGGAGCAAACGCAATAAGATGCTGTGGCTTTAGCCAAGGGCAGGAGAAGGAACTGGATGGTTTTTAGTCAGTAAGCTTCTGACACTTTCTCTCGTCTTACCTAGCTTCATCTAGTTTTTCACAATAAATTGACGTGTAAAAGTGCCGTTTTATGACCTATTTGCAAAAATAAATTCATTGTTACATTACCCTGGGCAAATTAGAGGAGTCGATTTGGTACAGAAGTAAAAAAGGGAATTTTGTTTCTACAATTAGAAAAAATGGTACCAAAATGGATTTCAGGATACAATTGTTCATTGGTTGTTTTTGGGACCAACTTGAGTTAGTTTGGGACAAGCAAACTTAAGTTAGGTATTCGTAAATTATACCATGGGAAACTATTCCATGTTTACTAGTATGTAGACCAATGTTCAATGCTAGATGCCTTCCAATTCCACCATCATATCGGATCGATTGCACCATAATATTGAATGATCTTCTACACGAATTTGAATCTGTAGGTATGTAGTTAAAATTATACATTTGTGTAAACATAAAACCGAGCAGGTTCATACATGCTGTTATTGAATCCAAACATGTTTCTCCAATCAAAAAGAAAAACATTTTATACGTGTCTCCGCTAAAGTCAGAAAAGTGTTTATCAATACTAATATTATAAATGCGAAATAACTCTATCCGTCTGTCTGTCCTTTCTTCAAGCCTAAGCTACTGGACCGATTTCTGTGAAATTTGGTACAGACATAGTTTGGAACTCGAGAAAGGACATAGAATAGTTTTTTAACCAAAAATCTGCAGGAAGTTACTATTCCAAGCGAACGGAGTCGCGGGCAAAAGCTTGTTTAATGATAAAAGTCAACCGCTTACATATTGAAAAACATTTTTAATAATAACCTGATTGATCCGGATTTAGGCGACAGTTTGGGTGAACAGTCTTTTATGGACAGCTCAAGGTCATTCAATACAGTCGTGAGAAAATAATACCAGGTATACCTAGGTAATAAAATTTTGAATTAATTATAGGAACAAGATTTCTATTTGGATATATGCACTTAAGATTCTGTATGTAGCGATAAGCATCAAATATGCTTTTTAGTGCGATTCTTCTTAGTGCGAACCACCAATCCGAAATGAAATCTAAGAATTTGCGTTAAACACACTTCTAGGTGATGTTTCATTATCATCATCGTCATCATCAGTCTATAAGTTTTCACTGCTGAGTAAAGGCCTCTTCTCACACGGAGAAGTTTTGAGCATATATCACACGCTTGCTCAATGCGGTTTGGCGAATAAATAAGTTTCCTCACGATGTATTCCTTCACCGTATGTCAGTGGTGTCGAAATAATCATAGAAAGTACATATAAATCGGAAAAAATCACATTGGCACTTGCCAGATTTCGATCCATCGTGCATGAGAACTGGGCGCCTTAACCTCCGGGCCACCACGACTCATAATCATGCAACTTATTTATTTTATGGAATAGGCAAACGAGCAGACGGATCACCTGATGGTAAGTGATCAGCGCCGCCCATGGACACCTGCAGCACCAGAGGAGTGCCAGGTGGTTATTAAAAAGGAGTACGCTTATTTCTTGAAGGTTTGAAGGTCGCATCGGTTCGGGAATACCATTGCATGCCGGAAATTCATTTCAAAGTTTTGTTGTGCGCAAAGTTGTTGACTGTGTCCATCCATTCTTCTATGTGATTGAGATGAAAATGTTTAAAATGTATGCAGGTTAGATGATAAGGTAATATAATGCTACCATCTGGTTTGAAGTTCGAATTGGAAGATAGGTGATGGTACTTTAGGGATCTTAGTTAGGTGGGATCCCTAATTGAGCACTGCCTCTTCTGGTGGTAGGGCGCAGGGGGTTGAGTGAAAGGCGGTGTTAGGATACGGGATATATTTCGCGTAAACCCCCAGACAGAACCGTTCACCCGGACCATTGGATTATTCACTCGTACAAATAGTTCCCCATTCCTGAAGATATCGTTTATAGGGAAAAAGGGATGTTTTTTTTAAACGTGATTGCGCTTACAAACATACAAATCCACGTGTCTATCGCACTAGAATCCGAAACAACTACGTAAAAACTACCTTGGAGAAAACTCCTATTTTCGAAATATTATACCGTATGTAAAATATTTCGATGCATTTCATAATACATAGGTAAAGTTATAAAAAAAATATACTTATCCATATTTTCGGAACTTATTATTACTCTATTTTATTAAAGAAAAGGATATGCACTAAAAGGTACAATAAAACTTAAAAAGCAAAACATATAAGTAGAATGAAAAAGATAATAAAAATAAATACTTTTGCAACTAAAACAAGGTTATTTCAATAAAGCAAGTATAAAGGTTGCCATCTCAGAGTAAACTGGATTCATCACTACATAATTTAAAACAAAGTTTATCTCGGTCCACATATCCCTATGTCCGCATAAATCTTTAAAACTATGCAATGGATTTGATTTTTGAGTGAGGTTGTCGGAGGGGCTTACCCTCTTTCCGCCTTTCATCTTCAATCCCCAAATCCCCTATCCTTAAATCCCAAATTACCCATAAAACTCCGGCTATGCACTTGTAGTAGAAGCTACTACACGCTTCGATTTTACGAGTGCCAATGGGCTTCAGGGTTTTTTTTGTGAGTGGAAAATGATTACGTCCGCACATAGTGTTAGACTCTTACAGACCAAACATCCCCCGTTCCTTCTCCTGCTCTGGGCCGAGGCCGCGGTGCCTAGCTAGCCCGGCTAATCATCAGCCCTATGGGGCCCCGTCTGTGGTGGTCAATTGGCTCTTTGAGGCGCGCGCGGGACGCTACGCGCCGTACACTTGGCTCTAGATCTGTTTGGGCGGCGAGCTACCCTTACTCGCCGTCCGCAGACCCGCGGGCTGGCTGGAGATCGTCTCTGTCGTCTGGTTTTTAGTCAGTAAGAGTCTGACACTCCCTTCCCTGGGCGTGAGAAATCATTAAATGATTTTCCCTTTACAAAAAAACCTCAGACTCAGTCAATATTATTTATTTTTGTTTGTATTTTTTTTTAAATAAACTTGGTACTACGTAACTTGAAGTGTTTTTTTTATAACTGCCGAGTCGTTCAGTCTAACACCTGGTCCTTTGCCGAACAGCCTTATAAAAAAAAATGTCCTCTTAGGCAATAAATAAAAAAACGTATCCACAAAAGATAAATAATAAATTTAAATTACTTACACTGATTCCTGTATTGATAATTAGCAACACTAATCACTTTGAAATGAATACACTGGCGTACCACATAAAAATTTATAATAGACTAAACCTCTTTCTATACGACCTTGTTCTATGATAGGCTGCTCCGTTTTAAAAATAATAACAAATAATATATAATATACTTCTGTATTTTAAATTTAAATGGCACTTGTCTAAGCTTTTAACAGGTTTTTCTTGATTGTTAACTTAAACTGAGTAGGTAGCTAAAAAAGGATGTATTAATTAAATCAACTAGATCGTCTGCTACGACTTCGTTTGTTTTTTTTTTCAAAGTTATTCATTTGTTTTATTTTATTTGTTTCAAAAATTTTATGTAGATTTACGTTTTTTCATTTTTTTGTTCCTTTTTATTAACAACTTGTCTCTGCATTGTTCTCACATAGGGGTACAATTAATAATGTATAAAAACTTTATTATTAGTGGATTGTAAAACAAATTACATTTTTTAAAAAGATTAACGATGGAGTTTCTTGCTTGTTCTTCTCCATTCGAAACTACAATTTGGAACGAGCATCTAGACACACGAACGAACAGACTGACAGACTACTATTCTATTTTGACGTTTCAAAAGTAATTTGCTAGGTTTAGTTGAAATAAATTATTTTGATTTGATTTGATTTGACTTACGTAAATACTTCAACTTATTTTTAAATTGATTATAATCAAGTTCACTAAACAACCGCTTTGGGAAACTGTACCTACTGGTAGTTAAGTTTATAAATAAGTAAATAGCTGTGATGAATAAATAAAAATGTAAGTATCTAACTAATATGTTAAAGGTGGACTTAATGCCGAAAGGAATTCTTTACCCAGAAAATCAATCGCTTTTAGGAAACAATAGGTTCTAAATAATCATCAAGCTAATATACAAATAAATATATTATGTACATAGGTACAAAATTGAATAGTTTATATATATTATATACAACACAATATACATAATTGCACACGAAATATAAAGCATCCTATTAATATTAATTCAATACAATTCATTTTATTTATAGATTTACGAATAGGTAATATTTAATTATTATAATATTTATCTCCATACAACAAAAATTTACGTATATTAGATATAATATCACACATTTTAATATAATATATTCATTAATGTTTTTTAAGATAAAAGTGAAAACGAAATTGCCATTTTTTTATGTAATAGATCGGCAAACGAGCGGACGGATTACCTGATGGTAAGCAATCAGCGCCGCCCATGGACACCCGCAACGGAGGAGTTAATGCGTTGCCGACCTTTTATGGATTAGGGATTTGGAGATTTAGGGATTGAGGAGGGATTGGGGCCTGGGAAGGATTGGGCCTCCGGCAACCTCGCCATTCTTCCAATTTCGAATTTTCAGTTATTTACGGATATAGCTTTATATTGTAATATTGGAAAAAAATAAAAAACCTCTCAGAGAAATAAAAAATCAGAGTACAGATTAAAATTGAAAAATAGACCGAAAAACAGTGTGTTTTAAATACACACTGTTTTTCATTTGAAAGCTTTAGAAGGTTTATACCTTGCTTTCGTGTATTTTTGAGCCGAATATATAGTGACAAACAAACTGCCTAGCACACAGACAATTTACATAAAATTGTAAACGTGTGTCGATAAACATAAAATACATAATGGGTTATTAGTTTTCTTAAACAACATAATTATAATATATTAAGTAAATAGAATTCTCTAGAAGTTTTTCAAAACATAATTATTATGGTTGGTCATTATCAGTTCAAAACTGTCCCACTTCTACATAAAGACTTCTCACAGGGTAAACCACTGCGCTTGCTCGAGGCGGATTGAAAATTTGAAATTTAATATAATATAATTTCGCGGGTGTTAACGCGAAAAATAATTATTTAAGGACCTTGGAAGGCTTGACGTTTTGACCTGGTTGGGTAGGTCGTGGTCGACCTGTAATTATTTTTATTCTCGCGTAATTTAATGAATGTTTACATGAAACGTGAACGTTTTCACTAAGATTTTTAATTGAACTTTAAATAAAAAATTATACTTATAAGTTCAGTTATTTTTACGATGTTTTCCTTCACCGTTTGTCAGTAGTGTCTTAATAAACAAAGAAAAAAAAGGGACTTGCATTTGATTGGTACTTGATAAGTTTCGGAACCGTACCTCAGGTATGGAAAGCAGGTGCCTTTTTTGAAAGGTAAAATCGTCAATGACTTCTCACACCCTTGATGTGGCGAGACAGAGAGAATGTCAGACTCTTATTGACTAAAAATCACCTATCTCGTCAAATTATTACGTGAGTAAGCCGAAAACATAATAAATAATTCACCCTATACCTTCTTGTGCTCCAGTACGTTCTCAATTGACCTGCAACCTCGGCAGAACAAGAAGCGGGCTTTAATTTTCAATCGTGGTAATTCGAGACACAATTGAAGAACCATAGGCGCCAACGCCGGCGTTCGCTTAGGGTTTTATGAATAATGTATGACGGATCTCCGTAAACTTACCACGGCGTTCGCAGACATATTATTATGAGTTTGTTTTGTTAATTAAAAGGCGTTTGACACTCATGAATAATGTATAACCCTTATAGAAGTCTTAATTGAGCTTTATCTAAGGTCTTTTTAGTACACTTTTAGTGGTCAGACGAAAAAAACAAAAGAAAAACATCAAATATGGAAGCGATAGAAAGGAGATCTTTTAAACATGTGTGTGCAAGAAGCTACTAAAAAAGCGTCGTGAAATAACGCTAACGTTATGTATCATCGTGGGAGAGAGGTTATCAGAGCAACATTTCTTTCGAACCTATCCCCTTATCCACATCACATCATATAATTAGCTTATAAGTGCCTACTGCTGAGCAAAGGCCTCTTCTCACACGGATAAGGTTTGAGCATAAATCACCATGCTTGCTCAAGGCGGATTAGCGATTTCAAAATTATAATTAGAAATTATAAATCCAGGTTTCCTCACAATGTTTTCCTTTTGTCAGAGTCCTTTTGTCAGTGGTGTCTAAATAATTATAGAAAGTACATATAACTCGGAAAAAGTCACATTGGTACTTGCCAGGTTCCGAACCCGCACCCTCATGCGTGGGAAGCGGGTGCCTTAACCTCTGGGCCACCGCTTCCCCTTATCCCCTCATCTCCAATCCCCAAATCCCTAGCCCCGAAAAGGTGGGCAAAGCACTAGTAACTTCTCTTGTTTGTGTCCATGGATGTCGCCAATTGTTTACTACCAAGTGAGTTAGTTTATTTGCTGTCCTATTAGGCACATAATAAATGCTGATATTATGCCAAAATCCGGTAAATACCACTTTATATATCAATAGGTGTTTTAATTAATTAAATTCTTATTTTAGAACAGAGATCCATAAGCCCAGAAATAAATAAATTTTGAATTAAAAAAAAAACTATTGTTCATCGCTTACGTTATAGAGGCCTCATATATTTGAGTTTCGATTTTTTTTTAATATAAGTATTGAGGGAACTATCCTCCTCGTCACGCCCCAACCACCGCAGTACACAAACCTCCGGCCTCGGGGTCGAGAGATCAGCCAACCAAAATGCGGGTCTGCAGACGGCGAGTTATCGTAAACCAGAACCAGACCCGAGCGTACGGCGCGTTGCGTTCGACGTGATCCTCAAATAAACAGGAGATGGGGCTCTATAGGGCCGATGTTCAACCGAGGTTGCGGGGCAAGCGCAATGAGGCACCGCGACCTCGGCCTAGAACAGGAGTAGGAACGGGGGGGTTTTTAGTCAGTAAGAGTCTGTTACTCCCTACCGCTCTACCCTGGGCGGGAGAAGTCATTTGACGACTAACCCCTCACAAGAAAAAAAAAATGTTTGAGCCCTAAAAAAGGTCATTGTTCCCAATTCATCAAATTACACGGGAACAGAAATTATACGGTTAAAATGTGGGACTCTATCGCTAAAACCACTCAACCGATTTTGATAAAATTCGGTTTAGCAATACTTTGATTATCGAGACAGGAAGCGGGGTAGTTTTTATCCCAGAAATACAGCTCACACAGGATATGTAGAGCAAAACATCTAGATTTTCGTTCTTTTTAGGCACGGAAATAAGTAATGATAAAGATGCAAATAACGTGATAGCTGAGGGGTACTATCTATCTGGCTAACATCGAAAGGCTAGACCCTACAAGCCTTTTTTTGTGAGGAGAAAATCACTAAATCACTTCTCCCGCCCAGTGTTAGGCGGGAGGGCTGCACATCTGCCCTATAGTGTAGGGCCCTGTAGATTGATATCTACAGGGCCCTACAGGGCAGATGTGCAGGCCTCACGACTGGTTTGCTTTCTACTTTTCTAAACTTTTCTTTCACAAAGACCACTTTCTAACAATATGAAACGCAACAAAACAGTAAAGTAGCATAAAAAGTTATTTTTTATAAAAATTTGGTCCCAGCGCTTTTGAGTTATGCGTTTATGAAAAGAGATTTTGAGATTTAGTTTTATAACTAGCAGCCCGCCCCCGCAATTGGTCCAGACCTTATTGAGTTATGCGTTTACTAAAACATTTTACGATTCATTTATTTATATTGTATAAAGATAATAATTTAAAATTTACTCACGTTCCATCCCTCAGTCAGCGCCGCGACAATGTTACTTCTGTGAGCACAAAACAGTTTGTCTGCTCAAACAGGGCTCTTACAAAAAAAGTGCAGTGTGCGGAGCTCCAAAAATTTATAGACAATCACTGAATTGTATGAAGAAATCTAACGTAATTAAGAAATGTCACTATAATGTCCCTTAATGACGAATGAATGGAATGTGTATAACAAAATTTGATATTAAAATTATAACACACACATAATGGACATTCTTCACTAATTAAGACAAGTATTATAATGTTGCTGTTGTTTCTCTTGATAATTTGTAACTGTTTATCATTTTTGTGGATACTTCCAAGCCAGAACAAATGTTACAAAATACTTTTTTGTACACTAGCTATAGTTAAAAATGCTGAAACAAACAATACCATCATTACATCACAAACATCAGCAGCTTATAAGTGGCCACTGCTTTCAAAGGCTTCTTCTCACACGCAGAAGGTTTAGGCATTAATTACCACGCTTCTTATTATC